ACCATGGTGATAAAAGCATTCCCTGCACTGTATCCTACCTAAGTTTACATGGCGAAATCTAATGCACCGGGGAAAAACTGTCGTGTTTTTGTGTGCGCAAAATGGTCCTTTCTTGTCTCGAAAGAGGCGTACACATTGACAGAGGTCTGTACGCATCGACTGCCACGGATGACGTGGTCCGCGTCGAGGTTCATCGGTGAAGTACTAACTAGCGCGATGCAATCTAATGAAATAAATACAAACAAGGTCTGCCAGTCCTCGACTTGTGGCCGATCACTCCCCCCCATAGCGACAATTTTCGCAATTTTTGATGTCATCGCCCGCATTCCGACCTCATGCGGTCTGTCGACGCTCACGGCGGAACCCTCAGTATTCGCTGTCTACTAGTAGTTCGGTCGTACCTCCCTTCCCCACTGCTCGGCTGAGCTCGAAGCGTGCTGTGGCCGATCGCATCTGGGTTCCTCTCGTCTGGCCTCTTTGACGCGGCTTACCAATCCGGCCGAGACGATCCTGTAAACAATGCCATATGCAAGCCAGTCCTGTCTGACCCACATTCGTACCCATCAAGGCTGACATTTATTGCTACCCTGACGATGACCGACAACATTCCGTTATATACCGCCACCTACAGGCCAGTCCTGCTCGCTTTTTTCTGTTATTATTTTTATGGAGGGATTTTTCTTTCTCCTGTAAAATCAATCCAATCCTTTTTAACTTTTTTAAGGAGTTTTTTTTTCACCCCTCAATCATCATGTTTCTCAATGGACTTCTAATTCAGAAACTATGAATTGCATTTTGTAAAGATTCGGCCTACCTCGTCTAAAACTCGCATGTAAATTTATTTTAACTTGCTTTGATGGGACCCCGACGGGTCTTTAATAAAAATTATCTATCTATCTATCTATCTATCTAAAGACAGCAGCAGAAAAAGACTTCCAAGCTGCCCGTTCATGCACTGTAAATAATTAGTCATTGCTTTGTATTCACTTGAGTCAAAATGATATGTAGCATTGTTGTCATCGTCATACCTAAACATTTGCTCAGAACAATTCTGTTAAGCACATCCTGCTGGTAACGATGGAGCTAGAAACTAAGTCAGCATACGGGCTCCCTTGTCCACATTGCGAATATCAAAGAAATGAGCTTGAGGTCGTAAATTTTGAGTGCTAGATGCCAGATTATACTGCCAGAACGCTCAGACTTTTCTTGAACTTTGGTCCTCTCGTTAATAATCTACCAGCCTCTGTTCGTTGTTGGCATTTCGTCATTATTTTACCTAGTATATTTTCGCTTTGTTGGCATATTGAGTATCTGGGTTTACGGAATCTTATGTCACAGCCGAATGTCCGTAATTATCCTGTTTACACACGTTTGGGCTAACATGAAATATATGTACACGTGGAGGTACACGCGACAAGCATAGTGCTGTCAAGATCATTGAGAATCCGGACCCGAAATCCTGGATCCGCAATACGACTCAAAAGTTTAAAATTTGAATTTTCTAAAGGGTTATTTTCATAGTTTTTCGTCGTATTTCAGCCAAACATATTTAAAAACAGACAAAAGCTTATTTTGGATACGTAGTTTATTCAGTTCTAACTTAAATTTTGTAACGTGTTCGTGGTGTTTTACTGTGCCACAGCTCGGAAGGTTTTTCTGCGCCACACTTTTAATCCAAAATCTGGTCAGCGTTGGTGTTGTGCCCTCGGCATTCCTATGTCCTTTGTTTGCCATGTTATCTATCTGTTGTGATTATCTCTCTTTTCTGATTGTAAAACGGTGCCTTGTAGCTTGCGGATTCTGGTCCACATTAGGCATCCTTAGTATGGTTTCTAGTGTTGCTGTTTACTAAACAGACAGGGAAATGATGCTAGGTCTCGAAAAGCACACACGGCAATTTTCTAGCATGCTAGCATTGCGCCACCGACTGAAACTGTAGTGCTATGGCACCCTGATGGTCTTAGGTCGGACGGGTGGGCGCAGAGCAGCCACGAAGGGCGGGACAATCTTCTGTTCTCGATTTTGTTGTTTATGCACGAAACAGTTAACGCCATCCTTTCACACGGGCTTCTCACTTGTTGGCTGTTCTTTACTTTAGTCAAGCAAAACAAAGAAAATTCATTTCGGCCTCCGCTGGTGGCATGACCTATTCGTTGCAACTGACCAATTATTTTTGGTTGCCAGCCAGACTTCCTGACTCATGTTTCATTCCCATGTTTGGGACGCAAGTCTATCTTCAGAAATCTCTATCACCCCAAAAAATATCCGTCATTTTTTTACTCGAAACCCGCATCCCGGTTTTGGTTCGTACGGCGGCTGTAGAAGTGTTTACTAAGATGATTTCATTGTTAACTGGATGCGAGGCAAAAGCAGAACTGGGATGACTGCGCGTTCCATATTCTCGGAGAATGTTTCTAGACCTCACCATTTGATGTATGTGATTATGTGAAATTGAATGGTGCGATGTTTTACCCTAATTTTATAATACTTTCCGTCTAGGCGGTCGACACTTAATACAATCTCCTAAGTTGACTGAGGCATTACTAAGGAAACAGGTTTTCTAGTACTGAGCTGGAAATTGGACAGTAAGCTTGTGCCGTTACAACCAAAGCATTAACTGTCTGCAGTCGTTGAACGTTGTTGCGGAGTCCTATTTACTTGTTGGTATGGCGTACCTAATAATATACATGAATGTTGTTGTCGCATCTACAGCTAGATTGGCCTCGCCTTCATTCATCTAAACTTTTTTGTGCAAAAAGGGTTATATGGCATGAGTAAGTTCTGATCAAACAGATATTGCATGCACACCAAAGCTACAGGATTCATTGCGACGATATTCTTCTGGCAGTGCCATACGCCTACCTGTTAAGCTGTGAGATGATTTGTTCAGCGACCTGTAACTGACGCCGCGCCCACTTCATGGCGTCCTGTAGGCTCCCAGCTTGTTAAAATGACAATGGATAATGCGCTTTTTAAAGTGGTGTATCATTGTGTTCTCATAGTCTTCGATGGGAGAAGATGGAGGGGGTTGTTTGGCCATCTCAATAGTTCGGTTACAATCGACTTCGCGGATCCACACTTCAGATTATGTCGTTTACCTATCTAGTCAATGGCATCTCTTTTAGAGATTGCCGGCCCTGGCGGACCCGGTTGCAGCCCACAAAGGTCATATAGGACTGTCTTCTGGGAACCCATCCTATGGGAACTTGTTCAACTGCTCGAGTACTAGGTACCACAGGATGGCCCTGTTTTGCTGGAAGATGGACACGGTCGGTTAAATACACTTATTGCTGTCTTTGCTTGTTCGTGTTGTGCATCATACGCGATTCTGTTCGATTTCATGAGTACGCCCGGTTAGCTTAATCTTTGCCGTACTAAGTCACATACATCCTCCTGAGAACTTCTGATGTGTCCATTAATTTCGACTTTTTGTTTGCCGTATTTTATGAAAAGTGCACCAGATAAGGGTGTCCTTTCTACAGTCTGGGTAAAAGCGAGTGTTCACTTGCCCATAAATATGTTAGTATTGTAATTTCTTATCCAGCATAAGAATGACAAACTTGACAGACCCAGTTATTTTGGGAGGGCTGGATGGCGGGCATAGTATGCTGGTGCAGCAAAGAAATAAGGAGAGGCGAGGAGGATATATCGCACTTATCTAAACCAGGGCTTCTCGAACTTTTTCGTCTGGACAACTCCTCCGGTATAAAATCTTGCCGCTGGAGTACGGAGCGTGAACGTAAGGCGGAGCTTAAAGTCTCTTTTCGCAACAGTATGTCCTAGGTGGCCTTTGAAGGGCTGCTCCGATCCTTCTGCGTTTCAGCTAGAACCACGATGGTGGTTGTTTTCTCTTCGCTTTTATTACTTGGAGTCTCCGTAACGCTGTTCACTCTTGCACCACGGTAAAATGCTGCACCACAACGCCTGGGACCACTGGCCTATACTGACTTATTCAATTTAATTTTTTCGGTTTTTGCGAATTCTCATGTCATAACTGATATCACTCAATTAGCACATTTGGATAACTCCAATAGAACAATACACAGTAAGGTATTTGGATTTTGCACGCACTGAAGTCCGTAATAATTTCACCAGATGTACCCAGCGTCTTCGATTCTTCTCGTTAGTATGATCGGTATTTGTTTTGTTGATGGTAATGTTTACTGCATTCACGCGGTAGCATCTCTCTCCTGTGATATGCCGTCTTTAAGCGGCATCTGTCTTCTTCAAGGCCTCCATTCATTTTTAGAAGTCTGTCCATCTTAGCTGTAATCAGCAGATAGTTCTGAACTATTTAAAAGGGCCTCATTCGTAGACGGAGCAAAGCCGGGCATCATCCAACGTCCTCTCTTCCGTTCGATGGAAAAATAGGGCTGAACATATTCCTAGTGCCTCACCCCAGAACGCTATATTTGGATGTCCGATATTTGCTATTTGCTTTTGCTGTATGACTGGGTGGTTTCATGAAATGAAAAACGAGACGTGTAAGGCTAAGTAAAAACATAACCAAGCTGATAAATTTGGTCTTTGCTCATGGAATTGCTCCAGCTTTTTACTACTTTGAGCCATCTTGCCCGCATTGATCACTAATCTAGACAGTCAGGAATTAGCTGCTTTTCACAGAGGCTAGTGGAGCGTTGCCTGCCCACTGGCTCGCCGAAACTTCTGACGATGGCGTCACGTTCTCAGTAGGCTTGGTCGGTGTGCATCAGTCAGTAACCAAAACTAAAACTAAGTCAGACCGCGCTGTCATCGGCCAGTGTCGAGTGAGACCGTCCACTAGCCACGCGTGTCTCTTGATTCCTAAACTCGAATGAAGTAATATTGCAGCTGATGAAAATTATTGTGTTAGATATGCACTTCTTTTATTTTAACTATTGCCTATTGTATTTTTTGATCCCCATGCAAACCATTTGACACTTGGGAGGCAGTAAGAATGGTTGCACTTAAAAATGTTGAATACCACCTCAACATCAGCGTCTGTATTTGGTTTATAGGCCATGGCAGTGGAAATGGCGATGGATATTAGCGACAGCGTTCTAAAAGAAGCACCGAGCGTTCCTGGCCTCGACGTCCCGTGGATCGAGAAGTATCGTCCCACCCTTCTCTCAGAAATCGTTGGCAACGAAGCAACCGTTCAACGACTTGAGTCATTTTCCCACACCGGCAATGTTCCTCACATAATTATTGCGGTTTGTAGAGAAAATCTATTAGTTACCTTTTGCTCTACGGCGTTTAGGGCCCTCCGGGTTGCGGCAAAACAACCAGCATTCTTTGCCTCGCAAGAGCTCTTTTAGGCGACGCATATAAGGAGGCAGTTCTTGAGCTAAACGCCTCTAATGATCGTGGCATTGATGTTGTGCGCAACCGTATCAAGATGTTCGCCCAAAAGAAAGTCACCCTTCCGCCTGGTCGTCAGAAGTTCGTTATCCTTGATGAGGCTGACAGGTAGGCCTTCCATCCCGTAAACCTGCGAAATTTCCATATTTTTTAAAATACTGTTTTCTGTTTCTGTGCAGACCGTATTAGTATTCTCTACATTTTCTCAATTCAGTGCTGGTTTATTCACCGGAATAGACGCACCCGAGGTCAAAGCTATGTCAGAAGACTGTCGGGATAACTCGGTTATTCTTTGTGGCTCTAGAGCAATAAACAGTAAGATTAGCGGAGCACAATAGAGTTAATAAGGCGGAGGATAAATTGAAAAGTGGACGTACATTCGAGGTGATAAGACGAGCAGTCAGCGAATGCCGCTAAAGTGTGGTGGTCGGTTTATAAGCGAGCGGCAACAAAGAGCACTAAACAATGGACAAAGAACAATGAACAAAGAATGACTAGAACCGACGAATAGGGATACAGAGACAAAGACAGGTGGTATGAGTAAAGTCTGCTTACTAACAAACGGTTAGTAGCAAAATAAAGGACAATAATAGAAAGTGACATCAGGGATGTCACAGACCCTGCTGTCTATCTAAGTCCGTATCGGTAGCATAAATACGTATGCCTGTTCGTGCGGATCAATCATTGTTGGTGGTTATACAACTACCTATTTGCCCGATTTTCCATCTCTAACCTCAGGGCTCCATTGCATGTTAGTGATATCCAGGATCGCATTTCGTATAGAACTTTGCTGACCTGTGCTTGTGTAAATTATGGATGGGCCACATCGATCGACTCCTGTTTCCACCATGTTGTATCCCCGAGGATTGCGTGCCTTGCGATCTAAGGTTGTGCCCTTGACAACCACGTATTCCCTGCCCATACGTCAATGATTTCTCAAAATGGTCGGGCGCGGTATTCTCTGTATCCATCTTAACCGCAAGTGTTTTCTGCTCGAAAAGCACGCCAGAGAGTCCGGCTCGGAGTGTTCATAGAGCAACCTCTGCATCGAAATCGTTCATATCTTAGATTTGTTTTAGGACGTGGTGAGACAACTGCGTCATCACCGGGCAACATTGCCGATATCCGATGGACTTCCATTTTCAGTGTTTGGTCCGTCGGCCTAAGAAACGTTATTTTGTTAAGGGCAATGATTGAAGAACTTATCATATTGTCGCAACTCATGAGCGCTAACGAACCAAATAGTGCAAGGTAAGTTTACTGCCAGAAAATGCTGTATGAAAGATGCATAGGTTGTGGTATAGTTAGCACAAAAAGGGACTAAGCCAGGCAACAGTTCTGGAACCTTCGACGTTCCTGTCGTCCGTGAGTGGTTTTTCAGTCTTTTGATTCAAGACCGATGGTCAGTGCTTGCCTTTGCAATATTCTGTCTCAATTCGTGTATCCTGATTTTGATGACTCCGTACTCAAGTGCAGAAAGCGATTCCCCGCAACTTTTGACAAGAAAACGGTGCCACTGGTAGAGTCCTGGATGTTTTACCCCTTATGAGTGCTCCACCGTAATCGCTGAATGCTTTGACTAGGAGGTCAGCTGGTTCAGCTCAGGGGTTTTTCGATTCCACATCAGCTTACAGAATACTAAATCAATTATTCCTAGTGGACTGTTTCAGTGAAACCACATAAGCAATCCTTTCTTCTACCCAGGCTGACATTACTCCAGGATCCAGCTAAGGACGCGCCCTGAACCAGACGTTCATGTTTAGGAGTTGAACTGCATTTGTCCAGTCCTATTGGACCGACACCGGAGGTCCTTTCGTCACTCCAAACATGTGCTTGCGTAGCGTTTATTAGATTAATTTATTTGTAAGAGTGTAATAGCGTCAGTTGTAGCGAAAGGTTCTCTGAGGACAGTACAAATGACTGTCTAAGCATGTCGGAAAAGTTCTCTTAGTGACGCAAGACTTCCCCGTCTGGGGTCTTTTGGGGGTGGGGGACCTCATTATTTTGTAATAATGTGGGCGACGACGGCACTTTTGAGCGAACACTTTTTATGCCTGCGATAGTATACGCGCCTTGAAAGATTATGGTCATGCCCCACCAAATCGGTCTTGCTGATACTCGTAAACGCGCCATCTGACAAAGTCCACGTCTCCAGTGACTTGTGTGCACTGTTGCTCGTCTGCTATTTGTGGGATTTTGACTGCTATCCGGACATTTTGTCGGCAGTGGGCTGTTGGGTCATATTTGCCAGTACGCAAGTTCCACACCCTTGGCTCGGTGCTTAGGTAGCACAGCAGACTACAGTAGGCATTTATTGATACCTACCATCTGCAGGCCCGGACGCGTGTTTCGCCGGTTTTACGCCGCTACACGACAGCTGCCCCCCCCCCAGCGTTTCCATGTGTTTCCTGGTATACAAGCACTTACTCTTTTCACTGGTTGTCCACTAATTTATGAGGTAATTGGAAAGTTTAAAGACAAGTGGAGTACTGACTGTTGCTTGAGCATCGAAAAAACTTTCGAACCCGTTTTGCCAATGGCACATTTGCGCCCAGTCGGGCAGCTTAAATAGACTCACCTTACCGACCATTCAGTTGGCAATGGAGACGCAAACAAGAAATTTTCCCTGGTTTCTCGACGTCCTTGCTTGCATCATTTAAATGTCACAGAGAGATTAAGTCCGACTGGTGAAAATCATCCCCATGTGACTGAGTACTTTCGATTGGACTTCACCGTCTGAACCTACAGTACCTGTGCTAACTCATGAAATGTCACGAATTAACACAGGTTAACGACTTTAACGCAGAATCGGTAAACACTACGGCTCCCAAAGTCTGATAGCGGAAAATAAACGATGTGTCAAAGAAATAAAGCAAAGTTTGGTTAAGAAAATATTATTTACTGAGATAAAAATAAGTAATTTTCGACAAAAGTCACATTTTCGAGAAACGCCTATATTGCAACCAAGTTAATAAAGGCTACGTATGAGGGCGTATAAAGGAGGAGGGCGCATAAAAGGTCAGAAATAAGTAAGGACAGAAACAGATACAAAAAATTAATACTTTGTTGATTGTCCATTGGAATTAATAACGGCAGAAAGTCTGTCAGACATAGACATGACGAGGTTATCTATGGTGGATTGTAAAATGTAATTATTGAGTATGAAATCCAATTTTTCCTGCATTGAAAGAGTCTTCTTAGCTTTGTTCCAATTTCTTTTGACTATTCCAAAAAGATTTTCGATAAGATTCAAATCGGGACTGTTGGCCGGGATGAAAATGGATTGGAGGCCAATTGCGGAGAGGGTGGTTGTTGTCTAAAATGTTAGATTATATTTGCAAACGGCATCAAATTCGTACCTCTTTGGAGCGGTGGACAGGTGCATTGTCGGGCAAAATTACAATATCCATTCGGCGTCGATTTATGCCGTTGTAGCCGAAAGCATCCTTGACAATTGCCTTAAACACCTTGCTGTTGATGGTGTCGGATGTTGACCGCCAGACAGGCCGCTCACCGAATTTAATCGCCATCCAAACCATCATCCACCGACAGTTCTTGAATGTTGCCGTCGGTGTAGTGTGTTCTCTTGGAAAGTTCTTTCCACATATGACGGTTTGGAGCGATTTCGTAGGCTTGTCTAAAAATAGAACCTCATCGCAGAAGAAAATGCTCTTCCAAAATGAAGATCTGTAATCAATATAATTCTTAGCAAATAAAAGCCGTTATCGAATTAGTTTTCTACTTAAATATGGCTTAATCATGGCCTTCCGCCGCTGCAGTTCAAATTCCTTCATCCTTTTCCTAATGATGTTCACAGAAAAGATCGGCAGATGTTCCCGCTGAATGGTCTCAATGGGCATGTAATGAAACTTTTTTAATGTACGACGAATAAAATCGTCGTCTTGCTTACTTGTGGACCGTTTGGGTCCCCCTATCTTATTTCTAGGAACAGTTTTATCATTAATAATGCGCCACAGAGTGACCTTGCTAATATTGAAAATACTAGCTAACGACTCACGCGGGATTCCCTCCGTCGCTAATTTTCGAATGCGCTGGAAGTCAACTTGGGATAAGTATTGTTTAGACATAGGTATCGTTTGGCGTGGTAGAGAAAAGTGACGGCATGTCGCGCGAACTCAATATATATTCGTTTACGACACGCATTTTCAGTCTGGTAAAACAATCACACTGATAAACTTTTATTTCGGTATTTTGAAACATAAAACTTTACGAATTTGTAAAATAGAATTTTTAGATAAAGAATCGCACGTTATTTCCTGAACAAAATAAGAAATAATTTATCTGCATTTCCCTGATTTTCTTGATATTGAAATTTAATTTTTTCTTTTTGTTCGAAAGTTTATTGAAAAATTTCGTCCTTTTATTAATCTTCTTAAACAGATTAATAAGGTTACACAAAGAATTTCCATCCGAAAGCTTTAATAGCGTAGGAAACTGCTTGAATATCAGGAATCCTCCGATTTCGCCTAAATCCGGCCCGTTTTCTATTTAATATACAGATCCGTATCAAACTTTCCTTCAGAAAACGGACTTTTTGTCCTTATTTCAACTAAATAAACACAAATAACGACACCAAAAATACGCTACATTTTCCACTATAATTTTGACCTCGGCATTTCATGAGTTAACACAGGTACTGTATGGTTCAGTCGTCTAGCACTCGATTCCACTACCTTTAACTCGAGTTCTAATCCTGAGCCGTTCTTGTCTGCTGTTAGGGCCTAGCAAATTTCGAGTGCTTAATTGATCAGAAGTGTTCATTTTTCCCTGCTTCTGTTTGGTAGATTCTTGTTAATGTCTCTCGAGCTGCTGATCGGCCAGTTAATGATCAGTAGCCTTTGTCCTACGCCCAGTTGATGACATTGGTTGTCCCCTCGCCCAACACCTGTTTGACGTTCGTACTTCCAGGAAGGAGTCTTCCTAAACTGCGTCATTACGATCAACTTTATGCCTTTTGCTCAATGCTACAGAATCCTTGAATTCTTCTCAAATACTTCTGACCTAATATTATGCACCCTCTGCCTCCATCGCCGTTTGATTGCAGTATGACAGAGGGCGCCCAACAGGCCCTACGCCGAACAATGGAGATCTTCTCACGGACCACTCGTTTTGCTCTCGCCTGCAATGACTCATCCAAGATAATTGAACCCATCCAGTCGCGTTGTGCTGTATTACGGTACGCCAAATTGACGCCGGTCCAGCTGATGGCTCGTCTTCTGCAGGTGGCAAAAGCCGAGGGCGTCCAGTACACCGACGAGGGCCTGGAAGCCGTTGTTTTTACTGCGGAGGGTGACATGCGCCAAGTAGGTCTCAACCTCTACCCCGCTCCTCCCTTGTCGTGGGGGGCAGGCTGTGCATATGACACGCGTAGACGGGTCTTTTGAGTTTGTCAGCCACTACATCTCAGCCAACCTCCGACCATCTTGACATTGTCTTGCCATCGAGCCCGGTGGGTGATGTACAGTGAGTGACCGATCTCATGAAGTGTTAGCCGAAATGCGTTTCCGATTAGGAAGGATTACTTAGGTAGGGTTCTAATACATATTATCTTGCGACATAATTCTATAATATTTTGGGCTCTCCAGAATATCGGCATTCGAACGCACGTTTTTTCGACCTCCTGTAGCAATCTTACTTGGTAAAAAATGACTACTCAAGTAGCATGCAGCCTTCGTATTGATTTTCGATGGTCTCATAAATTCAAATATATTTTATAAAAAACATGGACAAGAATATGTTTTCCTTCACTCGTTTGATAGAGAATTACGTCGTCTTCATATTTTATATTCGAAGAAGGATTATAATTAGGTTTTAAAGCAGTTTATAATTATGAGATTTTTTTAAGACCGCGTAATGTCCATTCATGCAACATCGTATCTCTGCGTTCACCACTGCTCCTCATGAAATGTACAACATAGTTCGCATCCATCGCAAAATTTTATGGACGCTACATGGTATCTTTTTAATGGCATAGAAGAATATACGATTTTCCTTACGCGGGACGCATGCACCTTGCAGACTGAAATCACTAAGCGCTAATGCAACGGCTAATCAGGCTCCAGATTATTTGGGAATTAGAAAACTTTTTTAAAACCCAATTATACTCATTCTTTAAATATAAAATGTGAAGACGACATAATTCTCTATCAAACAAGTGAAAGAAAGCATATTTTGTTCATGTTTTTTTATAAAATATATTTGAATTTATATGACCATCGAAAATCAATATGACGAATGCATGCTACTTAAGTAGTCGCTTTTTAGCGAGTGCGGTTTCTACAGGAGGCTGAAAAGAAGTGTATCCAAAAGCAGACATCCTGGCGAGTCCGAAATACTATAGGATTATGCCGCAAGATAATATGTATTACAACTCCACCTAACTAATCCTTCCTGATCGGAAACGTATTTCAAAATTTCGGCTAAAATTTCGTGAGATCGGTCACTCACTGTAGGAGAGAGTACGGTAGATGCCGTACAAGTATGCCTTACTATAAACTGGTTTGTGTGCAAGTCACCGGTGCCCCGCCCACGTCGTGAGCCACACGGTTGACGTTGCTCGTGACAGTTGAACTGTCAGGTCCTCACCTCCATCCCATCCTCCCCTTTCCTCAGCCACAGGTCACGGCGACCGTCTTCCACCACTGTCCAACTGCATGAACGCGTAGCGATTATTATCTTTAGTTGGGTTCCAAGACCAGAAAAGTGTGTTTCCATCTGTCCCTCACAAGGATAGTCATGTAAAGGTGAAACAGTGTTGAGTCCACAGAATTCAAAAGTTTCAAGACGGTGTTTCATCGCTGACTTGAAGACACAGCCAAGCCATCAAAAGTGTTAACAGTCTAATTTCTGTTACAGGCGCTGAACAATTTGCAATCAACTTACCAGGGTTTCGGGATGGTTACAAGTGAGAACGTGTTCAAGGTCAGTTTCCAAACAAACCCCGATTTGCAGAATTCCCTTCTAAAACGTACTTTTACAGGCGTGCCTGCCTTAAAGCCTGCTTAAAAATTTCAACACGTAGGAAGTTTTCCTGGAATTTTTTTCCTTTAGTTCATACGTCCATCAGCCGCCACTGGCGCTGGTTTTGCCGACTTCCGTGTTTACGGTACTGTGGATTAATGTAGTTCCGTTCTTCACGCAGTGCGTGATATTGGGAAAACGACAAAATCACCTGACCGTGTACGCGTTGCCTGCACATGGTAGACACGTCTTCGACGTTGTCTTGTCATTGGCAGCCACCACCGTGCGTCCCTCAAACCTGATTGGTCGTTGTCTGGGAGAAGTTGCCCGACTCTTCCAGTCAATACTTTGTGAGCCATTTGGATGAAACTCTAGCCAACCTAAACGGGACGCTATAAATACACCTCAGGATTTCAGCTTTCGAAAGAACTTATTTTCGGCTGCATGCAAGATCTATACTCTGCAAAAAACGATTCCCTAAGTAGTATGCAATTTTCTCATTGATTTTCGATGTCCTTGAAAATTCAATTATAATTCATGGAAAACATGCATAAAAATATTCATTCTTTTATTTATTCGGTAGAAACTCACGTCTTCTTCCAATTTAATACTCAAAAGAAGAGTATAATGCGGTTTTAAAAAACTTTTCTAATTCCCGAATAATTTTGAACCCGACCTCCTGTTACACTTGCATTCAGGGTTTCAAAACTACAAGCTGTATATTTTCCGTGTACGGAAAACCGTGCATTTCTCAACGGGGTTAAGCGGAGACTATATGAGGTTCATAAAATTAAGCAGTGGATTTGAGCAATATTGTTAACTTTACAAGCCAGATTCGTAAATGCAGATACATGACGTTTCATGAACGGCCATTTAACGGTATTGAAAAATCTCACAATTAGAAACTTTTTTAAAACCGAATCATACTCTTCTTTTGAGTATGAAATTAAAAGAAGACGCAATTATCTACTGAATAAGTAAAAGCATGAATATTTTTATGCATGCTTTCCATGAAATATAATTGGACTTTTAGTGGCATCGAAAACAAATGAGAAAATTGCATGCTACTTAAGTAGTCATTTTTTGCAGAGTATAGATCTTGCATGCAGCCGAAAATAAGTTCTTTCGAAAGCCGACACCCTGAGGTAACTGGATCATTACAGATTTATGCTGAATCATGATTAGTTTTACAACACTATTTAATTGATCTTTTCGAAACGAGAAGGCATTTCGAAATTTTGGTTGACATTTCGTGAGTTAGCACATCTACTGTACCATTCTGACAGGGTCACGTTTCGCTCTCACTGAAGGTTGCTCTGTTAGGCGTTTTGAGTGAACGAAGCCACGTTTTATTGTACGACCAAATGTCACTTACGAATTTTCAGACTGACTTTAGTCGGCATCTTCTATTGCCGTACTAATTTATTTCGGGGAGGCATCTGACAAGTTTTTGCAGTTTTTTTTAGTATAACTCTGGGAGTCGTTGCACAAGTTTGGCGTGCATTTAGCACTTATTGTTGACAAGGGCGTGGAGGGTTGGTAAGCGTTCGCCTAGGACTGCTTAACCCATCTGCTGACGGCTGGTGGTGAGCCCCGTTTCAACTTTGCTACGCCGTTGATACCAAAGTACTGTGTAATGTTTGACCTGGTCTGTTGGTCTTTTTCTAGGTCTGTGATGAACCCCATCCTCTGTTGGTTCAGCAAATGGTTGACCACTGTCTCCAGAACGATCTCAGTGCAGCCAACAAGGTCCTTCAACACCTGTGGAATCTGGGATATTCAGCCGAGGACATCTTCTCTATGCTCTTCCGCATAGTTAAGAACCACCAGATGGACGAATATCTGAAGCTCGAATACATCAAAGTGAGTGGTTCGCATAATGCTTCAGAGGTCGCGACTCCTCTATTCGGCAACCGCACGTTTTATCTTGCAGTAGTCGCCTTCAAGAACCCAAAATGATTGGTCTTTCCCTCAAAATGACCTAACAGTGGTTTCGGTCCATTTTTGACTCACTTGCTGGTACACTGAGTTAGTTAACTTTCGAAATTTTTTTACTTTGATTCCTATTAAGACCGCATCTGTGTTTGTAATTAATGCGCAGCTGTGCACTTCCAAACCCTCTCTTGAGTGAGGCAGACGACATAATAGCATAAAAGTGGACACTGAACACCTCCGTCTCGTGTCTCGCTCGAATGTCAGGACTGACTGACCCCTGAGCCTAACTGCCTATATCCTTGGTAGGCGTAGGAATAAATTCCTGTTCGAATTCACGTGCTGCGATAACTCCGCTCGCTGTGCTATTCCACAGCCCGCCTAATTGCATCCATGGCCGCTGACCTGCAGGTCCTATTTCGCTCCCAGCTGTGTGGACATGCGTAATAGTGCGTTTCCCTCGTCGAACGTCCGTTTTTATATTCGCTCAACGTCGTCTCCAACTTTTTTGTCGCGCGGAATGCGGCAGCTAATAGCAAACTGCTCGCCTGTATTTAGTCGGTTTTTGATGCTAACTCATTCCCTGTGCATATTGGGTACCGATCGGTGTGCGACGTCGATCTTTAAGTCACAGGCGCTCCGGCTGTCACCTCGAGCCACTTGCGGCTTCACAACCCATGGGTGGCCGTTGGGTCTCCTTCAACTTTGGTCCCTGAATGTTGCGGTGCGTACGTATTGCTCTGTGTAGACCCCTCATTCCGTCTCTTCTATGCCCTGCTGGGTTTTTCTTATCGTTAAAGCCAAGAAGCGACCTTGGGTTTCTAGTATCCTCGTATCCTCATGGTCACCGACACGTTTCCTAAGCTGCGCCCGCGCAGTGGGCCCCAGAAGAAACGGGCGGCCCTGTTGTCAGGCCTGAGCGGAGACAAAACACATGAGACACAGACTTTCTTTGTGATCTCACCGCCAATCAGTTCTACTGGATCTCACCACTGCTTCACGATGGAAGATGGAAAGCGGGTCCTCTCCAATGCAACAACATCGGTAGGCAGAGCATTCCTCGCCGCAACTACTCTTTTGTTGAAAATGTACTCGGCCTAATGGTTGTCCCTTGTCGAGATTTGAGGAGATAAAGCTGAGTGGATGGCCTGTACCCTTGGGCAGAGAAGTACTGTGTTGACCCCCCACAACGGGTAATACAAGGGGGTGTGATCGCACGCCCAGGTGCAGGTCCGCGCCGCGCCGGCCACCTGCATCTGATCCCGTTTTTGTCTCTTCCTGACATGGGGCCCGCGGTACTGACAGAGGGGAGAGTGCGGTGGGTGCAGCGCAAGTCCACTATCACTGTAAACTGGCCGACGCGCAAGTCACTGTCCCTGCACCCACTCCGCTGTGGATACACCGACGTCCTTCCGGCTGTCATGTGGTCTGCATAGGCCTGTAGGGGTGTGGCCGTGTGCGGGGTGAACGAATAACCAAGCGTGAAACCGATAGTGGTAGTTACGGGTCGTTTAGCGATGGGGCGAACACGGAGGTGGGTTGTACTCGCGACGCGACCTCTCCATCGTCACTAAGATTCACGTGTACCGTGCATCTGCCCGGTCTGTCCTTCTTTATGGTTGTGAATGCTGGACGTGCGCGTAGAGGACGAGCAAAAACTGGAGGTATTGGACCGCCACTGCTTGAGGACCATACTTCGAGTGAAGTACACTGACCTCGTCGCAAATGAGACAGTCCGCGCTCGCTGCGACAACATCGCATGGATATCCCAGGCCATTCAAGAAAGGCGGCTGAGGTGGTTTGGGCATTTTCTTCGTCGTCCACCCCAGGAGCACAGTGTTACCGCCTCCGGTCCGGCACCACTACCACATTGTAGGCGTTCAAGAGGGGGTCAACTCAGAACCTGGCTCGATACAGTTTGCGAAGACATGGAGAGGGTTCTTGGACCTCCGACACTCGGTCTCCGCCGTTGGCGAAGAGAATAAGTTGAACTGCCCAGCTCTGCTATCGCGGATCGTCACGCGTGGAGAGGTACAGTTTTTGACATCACTGAGGCCGGCTAGATCAGACAGGATCGCAATCGTACCTGGTAGAAGTAGTATAAGATAACAGTTCACTTTATTACGGGCACCGTTCACCCTCTGACTTTTACCTTGATATATAACTCTTATTGCACAGCTTTAAAGAGGGAGGTGTGCTCTTTCATTGGCTATTATCCTGTTCGTCATTTATCAGCTTTTTATTTATCCTTGTTATTGGTCTTGATTTTATTATCGTATCTTCCTTCCAGGAAGTCGGTCTGATTCATCTGAGGATTGCTGAGGGGCTCGGAACACTACTGCAGTTGGCTGGTCTCCTGGCACGTCTTTGCAAGATTATTGCAAAACCTGAAAAATAAAGATTTTATATCTCGCGTACGTTTTGATTGCCTAGAAAGCAGCCAATTGGATTCTGGCTAGATTTTTTAAGAGAAGAGAGAAGGCACCTGCATGGTCGTGAATGCGGTTTGTGTTGTTAGCGTCGATACTACGCTCTCGGCTTGCCGCACCTGACTCCTAACGTCCATCGGAAGTCCAGTAAACCACTTCGGGGACTCGGCTGAGCGGGTCACCTGTCAGCTACGCCAGCCGCTTATTTGCGCCAAATGTTCAAGCAGTTTCAGTTTATTGAGGGGAATATAGGCGAGCGCCTTTGAACTCCCTACTGGTTACAAGTCGTCGGAGAAAAACATTGATAATTGGGAAGGTGAAAAAGGGATTTTGTACATACTCGCGGACAGCTGACAGCCAGTCGAAAAGAGTAATCATTAACGCCTACTTATTAATTACAAGTGGTATACACACGCATAAGTTGGTGCCGGGTTATGTGATTGAATTTGAGGCTGGTATTTGGGAAACCTGATGCGCGTCAAGTCCACACTTTAAGGAATTCACACAGGAGGAAATTACAACATCGGTAGGCAGGGCATTCCACGCCGCAACCACTCTGTTGTTGAAAATGTACTCGGCCTAATGGTTGTCCCTAGTCGGAATTTGAGGAGATAAAGCTGAGTGGATGGCCTGTACCCTTGGGCAGAGAAGTACTGTACTGGCCCCCCACAACGGGTCATACAAGGGGGGTGTGATCACACGCCCAAGTGCAGGTCCGCGCCGCGCCAGCCACCTGCACCTGATCCCGTTTTTGGTCTCATCTTGACATGGGGCCCGCGGTAGTGACGGAGGGGAGAGTGCGGTGGATGCAGCGCAAGTCCACTATCACTATAAACTGGCCGACGCGCACGTCGCTGCCGCTGTGGAGACACCGACGTCCTTCCGGCTGTCATGTGGTCCGCATAGGCCTGTAGAGGTGTGGCCATGCGCGGGGTGGACAAATAATCAAGCGGGAAACCGATAGTGGTAGTTAGGTGTCGTTTAGCGATAGGGCGGACACTGAGATGGGTTGTACTCGCGACCGACACTTGAGAGCAGCAGTTTCGAGCGCATTAATAACTCGGTCTTTGCCCACAGCCCCAGGTTAGTTTCAAACCTCTCGTCCGTTAGCAAATCATGTTAGAACAATCAAAATACCAAATAAAAATTTAAATTAATCGGAGAAATTATCTTGCCGGACCAGATTAGCAGCTAGAAGCCCAACACTAGGCACCACCTGGCTTATGGGTCAGTCCACGTAATGGGGAAGTCTGACTGCGATGATGGCGAACACCGCTTAAAGGGCGTTCGGAGACATTCCAAAAGTAGAAGCGCGAGGGGCTGTCCACTTATGCTTGATACGGCTGCGATCATGCCTGATCTAGCCGGTCTCAATCATGTCCCGAGCTGTGCCTCTCCACGCGTGACGATCCGCGGCAGCAGATCTGGACAGCTCAACCCATTC